GACAGTAAGTTGGAATTTAGGTTTTGAGTTTCTTTATTATTAACAATTTTAACACATTTAATCATTAGAATACTTCTATATTACTTCTGTTGATATTCCTACTTTAAAACAAGTCAGTTGTGAATTGATAGACGGCTTCCACTTATGACCAGTAAAGATAAATTTTATTAACTGTCCTTCTTAGTTTCCCAGAAGATATTGGCTTTCAGTGCAATATACCTAAATGACTTTGTTTTCTCCTTTGAAATAACAGATAGGGTTGAATGTGACACCCTTTTGAATGCATATTATATTTCTAAACAGCAACTGGAATGAAAAATTTTTATCTAAGTCAAGACCTTTTGACAGAAGAACATTGAGCTATTTCACTAAAACAAATATTTTATGTTTGAGGGCCTGAAATCAGGGTGTCCCAATTGGGTGTCCCAATAATAATGTGAGCCTCTATTAATTAAGCCTTCTTTGCAAATATTATCATTATTATAATTGTTGAGATGGACATCATTATTGTGCTAGTTTTACAGAGGAGCTACTTGGGCCTGATACAGCAGTGTAACTGGCTAGGGTCATTTTCTGTTAGGAGTAGCACTCATTTATAAGATTCCAAAGCCCTTTATGAATTTTCTCCACTTTTGAACATAGTAGAAAAGTAAGCTTCAGCTCAAGATAAGGAAACTGTCCAGAATCATAATGGTTTAGGCTACCTCAGTAAGCTATGAGGGAACTCCCTAAGATTACCAGTGGCCAAAGAGGCCTTGGGAAGAGGTATCAAACGTTAGTTATAAGGATACTTCTACCACTGAGATGAAATGATTGTCTAAGTGCCTCATTTTTTCTCATCAATAAAAAGGAGGAAAACGTTATTAATAAGAAACCTATTACTGAACTGTGGAATGGCATATTATCAGTAATTTGCAATGGAGTCATTGCTTCCATTCCTTTCAAGCCATCAAAATGAATTGCTCCATCAAATCCTCAATGAAGAAATTAAAATTAGTTTACATTTTACCCACATTATATTTTCAAGCATTAAGCAATTATCAACCAAGCCCTAATTCATCAACTAGAGGGATAAGGATAAAATGAAGAAATAGGAAGTAGTTGGTAGGCATAGGTTAGATTCCAGGAGTGAAGCAAATCCATTCAGTTCATGATCATTATTTATCTCAGTGCTTAAACAGTAACTGTAATTGTATTCTTTGAACACCAAGTTGCCACCCCACCCCCACCCTATTCCATAGTTAATTAGCTGGGCAGGTCTTATAACAAATACCCACTCAGAAGCACTGGGTGGTAGAAATGCTGTTGATAATTAACACCACAATAGCATGGAGCCTGTTTCAGAAGCGCAGAGTGGTCTTACCCCAGCTGGACTGCTTGCCACACACCCACAGACCCTCTATTGTGCTGGCTCTGACTGCTCCCAGGGACAGTTGCTTGGCTGGAGAAGGAACCAACTGCAATGAGAGAAAAGGCTAAACTTTCAAAAAAAGCAGCAATGCAGGATTCATGGGGGAAATATCCAGTGGGTGGAAGTGAAAAAGAAAGGATTGGACACTAGAAAAAAGAGAGATGGGCAGGAAAATCAATCATAAAATAAATATAACCCTATTTTCTGAGCCCAACCAGCCAGACAAAATGAGTTCACCAATCTCACATTTAATAGTGATTAGAAAATTGCAATATTTAAATAATAGGTTGAATCATGCAACATGTGGTTTATAGAGAAGTTCAATGAGCCTTTTAAGGTTTTCAAGGATATCATATCTAAGTCATCCTATCCTCCTGGTTTTAATTTCTTCATCTTTAAAATAAGGGGATGGAAATTCTTCCCAATACTGGGTTGAAAAAACAAGGATGGGGTTCCTAGACATTTTCTAAAGAGTCAAAGCCTTCTCTATCACTGTATTATTCATGAAAAAAATTATTTAGTATAATATAGTTATATTTCCTTGCTTCTGCTTAAAGTGTATTAGCTCAGGTTAATTATCTCATCTGAACAGTTGCTTCTATTGGCACTCAAATAGGTCATTAATAATAAGGAAAAGCATGATTACTTTATAAGTCAGCTGCTTTGGTAGCAAAAAAAAAATCATGCAAAAGAGTGTTTTATTCAGCTATAAAAAATCCATTGGAAAAATACATAAAGATTTGCTTGGTGAAATTGTTGGAAACTACTAGCTCAATTACTACTTCTCTCGCTCACCCAAGGACTCACCCCTGACAACAAAAGTAAAAGAGCAAGGGTCTCCTCTGGGGCAGCTGGGTCCTGGATGTGGAAAAAGAGAGAGATCGCTCTAGCATTTGTGTTCTTAAAAACTTCCCAAAGTCTGGAAAAATTTCCATTCTTCTGCAGAGTAAATGTGTGTGAATCTCTAATCCTAATAACATGCTTTCATCGCAACTTACATGTAAAATTAGAAAGTCCATGGAAGACCCAGATATTCATATCTTGGCTTCAGAGATGCCACTATATCCCCACGCAGCTGTCATCACTATGGTGTCGTGTTGGAGTTCATGTATCCCATTTTGAGGAACCCAAGGGATACAAATAATCTTGAAAAGTCCATCTGGCTATGAGTCTGTGGAGCTTCCTTGTTGCTCTTGGAAGAGGCAAAATGCTCCACTGTGCTTTATCTTTTACCAAAACTCAAATTGCCTCCTGTCTAAAACCTAGGAGGGCAGGAAAGGTGCAAGCGGTTGTGCTAGGGAAAGCAGGAAAAATATCAGAAGAGCCCAGCACAGCTCAAGAGAAGCTGTCCATCTGAAATGCCACCTGGAATTCATACCAGTAATAACTGTTGTGGATATAAAAATTAATAGGGGGGATTTCATAGTATTAGAAAAATTTATTTTTATAAATCATGTGTCTATCACCCAAGTGTTGACACATGCATGCAATTCAAACATCAGGCTTACAATAAAAGGCTCACTGAATAACTTCACAAGGACAATTCCCCCATTTTCTCTATAATTTGGAGAGGAAGGAGCAGGGGGGCGCTGGGTAGAGGGTGCAGTTACTGGGTCAATTAATCAACCTGAAAACTGTGACACAAACTCTGACGCCTAACCTATGTCTAAAAATACACAAATGTATACGAATTTGTTTTAAACTGTCAATGCCTATATTTAGGACCTTCCCAGCAAGGCTATAATGAGACTGTGTTTGAGGGCTTCAGTCACAGCAGACTCTACCATTAATCTGAAGTTAGTTAAATTAACAGCATTTAGTACTGACTTGTCAATCTTACTACTCCAGGAAATTGCACCTTGAGGCTACTAATATTGCCAATTTTTCCACTGGAGTGTGCGCCTGAGTGTGTGAGTGTGTGTGTGTGTGTGTGTGTGTGTGTGTGTAGGTGTGTGTGAGTGTGTGTGTGTGTGTGTACTTTTTCTCCAAAACCTCCACGCTCATGCACCATCATTGCTTCCCTACATCCACAGCACTTATATTATCATTTATTCTGGCCTCCTTTAGCCTTCCCAGGGGATTCTGCGTAGTGTAGCTGCTCAGTGAAAGAGATTTTTAGCTTTATATTTATTTGTTTATTTTTCTGTCATGGCTCATGACTGAGGCTTTAAAAAAAAAAAGTGTGACAGTATTTAGAGTACATGATTGACTGCTATGGCAACATTCATTAACCATGACAAATCTGTAGCAAAACACAGTCCTGAGTGTTCTAAACAGAAACTTTAAAAAGAAAGAAGAAAGAAGAAAGAAAAAAGGGTCCACTAATTTTTCATTGACCTCATCTGTAAATAAATTGAGGCTGATGGTGCGCAGGGGCAATCATAAATTAGTATTCATTTCCTGTAATTAATGCAAACATGCCTATGAACACAGAGAATATGAATATGTAACCACCTAATTTCCATTTCAAAATACACCTAAAAAATTTTCACCGCAGTTATCTTCATAATATATTGCCCTTTAATTAGCAGGATGAAATGGATGAATTTCTTTCCCACCCTCAGGGGGAAATATTGTTAGGTCATAGGGACTGTGAAACATTTCAACAACAAATTTACAGACCTAATTCTGATTGATTTCTCTGTTTGTGTGATTCCCCCACCACATTTCCCTCAGAAGGCTGATTTCTTCCTTATCACTGACCAGGAGGGACTCCTCCTGAAGTGACCAGGGGATCCCATAGGCCCTTGCATGCTTAAAAGCCATTAGCACACTAAAGAAGCACAATGCTGGGAAAATTCTGCCAGTGAAACATTCACACATGCAAGGGCAGATTAGATAAATGAGGTGACATAAATCAAAGGAAAATTATTGTGCATTAAGTAAAATAGAAATGCCAACTTCTACAGCCTCTTTTGGCAGGAACTGCAGGTCAAACGGCCCCCTTGTGCATAAGTACCTCTGGAAAGCTCATCCTATGATTGCAGGTGATCACACTGAAGTCTCTCAGCCATCAGCACTCACTAACTCAAACTGTAGCACCCACTGCACAATATTCTATTAGCAATAAATCAATCAGTAATAAGAGAACTGTACGTCTTAAACACACACACAGAATTTTCTGTATCCCTGGAAGAATGTGATAAGAGCACAAAATCTGTAGCAGTGTCTACCTGAAACCAAAACAGAAACAAACAACTCTGGCAAAGTACAACTTGCCTCAGGGATTACCTTTCCTGGGACTTTTCCAACCCTATAGAGCTTTTGACCCTATGTGTTTGTGCCTCAAAATGTACTGGAAACAAATCTGTGCAATTATAATTACCTGTGCCAAGCATCTAACTGGAATGTGTGCAGCAGGAGGGCCGGAGAGCAATTAAAGAATCTTAATTTGATGAATTTATCACTCAGTCTGATTGCAAATGTCACTCATTATACTTTTCCATAATAAGACAGTTCATGTTGAATACTGACCCCACTCTGAGCTGGCTTTGTTTAAATTCACACAGACTGTGTCCTCTCAGGAATAGCCTGCCAAGGCAACAGCATCTCCCCAGAAAGAGGAGTCATCCTGTTTCTTCCCTCTTAGTTGTCAGCCTGGAAAGCCGTGCAACACACCTTAGCACACTGGTCCAGGAGGCCCAGGACAGAGTGAGTGAACTGTCTGCCCAGGTGGAGAATGAAGGATTCACTCTGGACAACACAGAGAAAGAGAAACAGCTGAAAGCTTGGGAGTGGAGGTATCGGCTCTACAGACGCATGAAAACAGGCTTCGAACATGCCAGTGAGTATACTCAGAAGGCTTATGCATTTAACTAGACTGAGCTTTGGTTTGAGACAGGCAGACCTTCTTTTACAGACTTTTTTTTTTTCACTCTCCAGGGTCATGGATGGCCGTTGTCAGAGTATTTAGAGCAAGGGCTCTGAGAAGCCATAAAAGGGTCTTTTGTCTTGCTTGATTTTCTGGCTCTTGATAGTTTCCTACCCATAGCTGAGACCTCAGCTCTCCTGGCCTCCCTCCACTGTGTCACACTTTTCTAGCACTTTCTATCTGATATGCCCTAATGTTGAATGGCATGAATGGTCCAATGCACTAAGTGACTGTATTTTGCTATGTGGAGGTAGAAAAATATTTGTTTGCCTATTTGTCTAGTTTGAACTTCAAGCTTCAGTTTAAGCTGTTTTCAATTCTCTACTGCACTTTTTATATAGAGCTAAAAACTGAACTTCAATTAATATGAGCAATACTGGATGGTTGATCAAATCTGCCCATGAATTATGCTTTTGTCTGCAGTCCCTCTCTCTTTACCAATTCTTCTGGTTAATTTAAGGAAAACCTTTTTGGATAATGCTCATCAGAAGTGAAAAGTACTGTTTAGTGCAGCCCCTAACAGAAAAGCGAAATATACAGCCCAGGCACTGTTCGAAGCCTGTTTTCATGTGATATATTAAACTCTCATTCTAGGAGATTCTATTTAAATAACAAAAAAAAAACCTTGAAATTTAAACAGTTCATTGGACTGGAGTTCAGTGTTTTTGCTTACAGAATATTCAAGTGCACAAACTAAATCTCATATTGAAAAAGACCAAAGGCAATGAAAATGTTTTCTTGGGAGGCACTATACACTGATACCAAATGTAGGCCTAACCTTTTCTTTGAAATAAGTAACTCAAACATTATTTATGAAAGGTTATTTTCAACATTAATAATGCCACAATGCTGGTATGTGGATTCTGGCAAAGACTCAGCAAGTGCATGAAGAAGTGCAACTGCTACCTGCATACTTAAGACAGATTAATACTAGAAAGAGACATGCTTTTAGACTTGATACCAGATTTCATCATTTTCTAAGTTACAAAACATCTCCTGAGTGCTAAGGAATACTCGAAACTGTCATCAGTTCATTGAAGCCTGAAGTTGGTAGGCATGACATGTGTCCACAATTTTTCTTAGAAATGCTTGCTGAAGTAAGAGGAAGCAGACCAAGACAAAATGAGTTAGAGTTCTGTCTTGGACAGGACCCGGGATCTGGCATTCCAAGCCCTAGGCTTTCCTCCCGCTCTGGGTCTTCACCATGTTCTGAACAAGGAACTTGGCCTCTTGGGCCCTCAATTGCCATATCCCAAGAGTAACAACACTATTCCTTGCCCTTTTTCCCAGCAGGGCTACAACATGTCTCCATGATATGATCTGTGTGAAATTGTCTTGTGAACTGTATCTACATAGGAAGCTGCTGTCACTTTCTGCCCCATTCTTACTGGTTCAGCCAAATCTCTTACTGTGTTCCCAGAATAATCTGGGAAGGCCTCGCTGGTAGTCTTTACCCCTTCAGAAGATGTTCTAATAAATCAGGCACACAGGCTTAAATATCGCATGGTTTCTATGGGATATCTAAAATATCAATAAAATGCAAAATAAAAGATAGATAATAGGAAGTAAAGTGATAGATGTTTCTCAGAAAGGAAGGGAATCCAGAGATGGGGGAGAAGGGATGAAAAAAAGAAGATGTGTTCTGTACATGTACCAACTCCCATAAGGAGTGCACACATAATGCACCACATGCGTGCACTAACAAAAAAGAATTTAAGAAAAAAAGACCACAGTGGCAACAAACGAAAGCCACTGAGACTTCTAATAAAAATGTGCAAAAGCAAAAGCTATCAGGCTCTACAATGCTTCCACAGTGTGTATTTCCAGATATCCTGTGAAGAGTCAGGAACATTGTTTGAAAGGATTTGCTAAGCAAAGATCCTTGTGTTTTCCTTCTGTCCCAGGAGCCCCCGAGGTGCCAACCAATGCCTGTCTCCTAGTAACCAGCAGCGTGTCTCTCACTGTCAGCTTCCAAGAGCCTCTCAGCGCCAATGCAGCTGTCGTGACCAGGTATAAAGGTACTGCACTCCTGTTATCTTCTCCCCACTCCTGCATAGATGCAGAGCTGTGGCTTCAAGACTGATTATGCATTTTGTGTGTTTCGGATTCCTGCTGATCAGATCATTTTCATCCCATTTACTTTCACAGTTGAAATACTAAAGTAAGCACACATGGGAAGGAGCAATAAGGTGACTGAGAATAAGTCACGGAAAGGATGAACCACAAGACCAGGCTGTCCGTCCAAACTTCTCAATGAATGTGCCATTCATGTTTGCAGAGTGTCTGCTTTGTGCAGAGCATAGGGCTGGGATATGGAACATACTGAAAAATCAGACCCGATCCAAGGAGCTGAAAGGCTGGAATGTGGAACGTAAATAGGGGGCATATAAATCGATGACTGTAATACCAGGTGAAGCGCACTGGGGTCAGAAAAGACCAAGGGCATGGCAAAAAGGCAGTGGGATCAGCAGAGGCCCCAGGTTAGAGGTGGCACTTAGGCCTGACTTTGAAGGATGGTCAGAATTTGGAGTGGAAGATACTGGTGGAGAGAAATTCCAAGTGGAAAGAACAATGAACATTGGTAAATATGACAACACAAAGACCAGAGAGGAAAATAAGGTGACAGAAGGAGAGCATGGGCATGTAACATTTGGGCTTCCCTGAGCTGCACTGAAAGAAAAGGGATTGTCTTGGGCCACATACAAAATACATAATGCACTTGATATATATAAAAAGCAAAGTTTCCTCTTTATATTTTTATTTTATTATAACATGAAGAACAACACAAGCTTAAGTTTAATAAATTAAAAAGAAACCTTGCACATCTGCTTAATAACAATAAGCACCTGTCATCAGAGGGAAATAAGCATACTACATACATGGGTAAGTTAAAATAATACTCATCATCAGGAACTACAGCTCAGTGGCACAGAGCTTGCCTGGCAAGTACAAGGTCTGGAGTTTGATTCCTGATACAAGAAAAAAATAACTATCATCGATAATCACTGCATTTTCATTGCCAAGTTACACAAACACATGCAACATGGATTTTGCTTCCACTGACTGTGTGGTTGGCTCAGGAGATTGAGTTAGGACTGCACTTGCCTTCCCCTTCATAGCTCCCACTGTCTTGTACACAGTCTACCATCCAGCACCACACATTCAAGCGAGGAAAAGTATCACCACAAGTCATATAACAATGCTAAAAGTTGTCTTGGGCTCAGGAGATAGCTCAGTGGTCTAAGCACCTGCCTGGCAAGAGCAAGGACCCAGGTGCCATCCCCAGTACCACATGCTGTGCCAAGGAGCAGAACCCTGAGCACACCATGCCAACCACTGAAACAGGCTGTGATGACACACACTTGTAATCCCAGCACTGGGGAGGCAGAGACAGGAGCATCACTAGGAGTCTGAGTTGCATAGTGAGACCCTATACTAAATAAATAAATGATTAAAAAAAGAAGTTTATGACTGTGGGGCCAACTTACTAGCTGGCCACGCCCGTGCGCTGGATGTACCTGATGTCAAGGGAACTGAAACTAGTATTGGCTCCAAGGAAGCACAGATTCACAAGGTACAGCGAAAGGTACAGAAAATTAAGCCTCAGATCTGTGGGTGGGGTTCTATGGTGCTGGCATTCAAGGTCTAGGACTTTGTATCTTATGTGATGTGTTCTGGACAGCCTTTGAGTAGAGGTATAAAATGGCTTGTAGGGTTCTGAAAGTTGGAAGTGTCAATACTGGAGATGATGTATTGGGGGAGATATAGACTTAGAATAAAGAAAGCTATTCAGGAAATAGATTGTGATAGCCTGAGCTGGCTACAGTGGCCTTACTGGAAAAGGACAGGAAAAGCCCAAAGGGAGAGATCGATAGCCAATGCTTACGCAGCACTTTGTATGTAGGGCGAAGCCCACGCATGTGAACTCTAATCAATCTTCACAGCTACTTCATGAAGTAGCAACTGGATTCCTACTTTTTAGATTAAAATCCCAAGGGAATGAAGGACTGAAAGATTTGCCTATAGGCTCATGGCAGAACCAGAGCCATTCCATTCTATTGCCTCTTGGATGTGAAGGATAAAGGGAATATGATCCATGTGCCTCACCGGGATAAATAGAATGTGACTATACAACCCTCAAGCCTGGCAGTTTCTATCCTACTCCAAGGTGGCAGATCATAGGCAGACAGAAATTCCAGTAATCACTGCTCCCTCTGCCTGCAACCAAGTTCACAGAGGGAGCAGCATGTCCTTCTTTCTCTTCCCAAGAGGACCTTCTATGTGTCTGAAAATACTCTTCTACCCATACCCTTGAAATTAAGCATTATAGCTTGAAACACTTTAGGTAAGACAAGACTCAACTGTTCATCACTAGGTTTTCTGTGTCGATCTAAGAGAAGACAGCAGTGCATATTAACTGCACAGTAAAGAAGCCAGTGGGTGGCCTCCCTCAGCCACCCTTTACACAGTCCTGATGCCTTCTCTTGGTTGTCTCATTGGCAAAGGTTGACATCCAGAACAAGTGCTGCAAGCAGTGGCAGACACATCTCAGGGTGTCGACAACAGGGTTCATCTGTGCTGTCCAACTTGACATTCCCTTCTTCTATTTGATTAGTGAGCTATCAGAAGCTAATTTACCCAGACTACCAGCTATTTAATACTTGACCACAATGCCAGCAAATTCTATCAGCATTCACATATTAACATTTCTCATCTCAGGAGACTTCCATTTGGATAAGGGTGAAACAGAAGGTCACAAATGGGTTTGGTTAGTGAGTGGAGAGGATTAATTAAGCATTTTAAATAGAATTGTCTGTTGCATTATGGAATAAGTTTCCTCATGATAAATTATAAGGACATAAATTCAGTCCTTAACCTGACCACTCTCAGGCGTTATTTAAACCAGCTGGCAGCCCATTATACCCACAGAGACAGCAAGTCAGTTTTTAACTCAGAGGTTGAAGTAATTATTTAATTGTGGAAATATTAGCAAAATTACCCTGAGACAAGGTGAAATGTATTGTTTAATTTAAAATTAAAAAAGAGAGAAAGAAGAAACAACTGAGAAATGCACAGAATGAAATGGCAACTATATGAATGGTTGGAGGAAAAGATCCTATAGCATTTAGGGTTTGGCAAAAATGTCTCACCCTTCTCTCCAGAATTTCTCAGTTCAGTGAAACCTCAGGACTATTGTGACCACAGTTTTTTCCCTTCATGCTTAAGCCAATATATTTTTGGAGACAAATGTGAATCTTTCTGCTTTTCATATGTTTATACTCAATTCATTAATATGTTTTATAAGAGACTGTTGACATACACAAATAATTTTCAGCGCATCTCTTCATACACCTTCTTCACACTCTAGCACCACATACCACACCAATCATTTTCACAACTCAAAAGACTTAAGGCTTCAGTTATAGCACAAGACCCAGGAAACTATTTCCAGTGAAATCCACTACATTTTGCTGTCTGCATTTGCCCTACATACAAGGGCAATAGGTGTTTCTAGGTGTGCTTCCTTGGACCCAAAGATCCCTTGCACCTTTCCGTTCAGCTCGCCAATTGCCATGGATTACAAAAGAAAAAGCTAGAGTTATTTCAGACATTTTAACACTTTGGGCCATTTCTAGAACTTGGTTAAACATTTTCTCCTGGGTAACCTGCCTGAGTCTCTCAATTGCAGATTATGTGTTATTTTTCTGCAGAGCCAAAGCAGAAAACATTTTTATTAAAATGCTTTTGCTGCTCCTACAGTGCTAGGCAGTGGGTATAAGCACAACTTGTTACAGATTTCAGGTAGTAGCATCTGTCTTTCATTCAAAGGGTAAAATATTTTCTACTTTTATTTCAGTGGACCTTAAACTTGCAACAACTTTAAGATTTATTAAGCACGAGAGGCTGCAGTAGTTGCTACAGTGCTTGTAAGTGGTGCCCTGTTTCTGGACATACCCTTCCTCACCTCTTTTCCAACCCTGCTGTCTCGCAGATTAAAAACCACCACCCCAGTTCTCTGCTATGAAAACTTCATAAGAGCACACTGTTTAGCCACTCTTCATTCGATCTCACTTTTTAAAATATAAAAGCATTTCTGCTTGCAGAGATTGCTACTGCCTTCAGGAGCTGACAGCACACCCACCAGTGCCTTCCATTAACTACTTCCTCCAGGTTCTTAGAAAGAAAGGAGACCAAAGAATTCCAAGATGTCCCGGGGCATCTCGGCTTCTAGGAGGGCAAGCCCACCATTTATATATAAAACCATCCTGTCATTCATGTATCATGAATGTTATCTTTCCACAAGACTTGAAAAAATCCTGTCTTCACTGAGCCTGGTTCTACATTGCTCAGTGGTTTATACTATTTTTGTCCCTAATTTTTCCCCTCCCATATTTTGTACTTACAAAGATATTTGTTTGCCAAGAAAATACACTGCAATAAAGAATTTTTTTTTCTATGTTCAAGTATTTGAAGAACTGATGTTGGGCCAGCCAAATAGCTCAGCGGATTAAAGCACCTTCAAGCAGGCACAGGGGACAGGGGTTTGATCCCCGGGCCTGCCATGCCAGCCCCTCCCCTGGTGTTCAGTGAGATGGCAATTGAAACTGGTGTGGTTGTGTGCCCCTGTAATCCCAGCTCTTGGGAGGCTGTAAACAGGTGGATCACTATGAGTCCGATCTAGTAGTGAGACCCTGAACACCCTGTAGACCCTTGCCCAAAATACAAAAAAAAAAAGAACTGATCTAATACTACATATAAAGGGGCCCACCTTTCTACAGGGAAGTGACATCATTTAATGAAACAAAACAATTTATGATTTAATTAGCCTGCTTCAGTTTGGAGAGGGAGAGATGCTGAACCCAAAGGTCTGCAGATGGCAGCAACAATGAGAAGCAGAAAATGTTATGTCCAGAGAACCTGAAGTTCTGTGCATTAACATTTTTGCACATGGGTGAAAATGTGAAAGTGAGTTGAGCAATGCAACACATGAAGAAAAGGCAACAGCAGGTCTAGGGAA